TAAAAATTGGATTCACCGGTAAGATAAATGAGGTATAAAAATGAATAAATGAGTGTTCAAATTCAATGGAAAAAAGTCTGTATGGTACACGAATAATCGAGCGCGGCAAAACCACTACAATTGATAGATAAATTTAGGTATATATATTTACTATTTAGGAATGGAATGCATATAATAAAAAAGAAAAAGTTCCATAGAGAGAAAAAAAAAAAGAAAGTGACGAGAGGATTGTTGATTGATTTATTGATTTATTTATTTCGAACTGAATAGTTTGGAGAATTTTCCTAACTCTAAATTTAATATTGTCGACAAATGTCCGAATCTACCGCTAGGTTAAGCTCTACAATCACGTTACTATAATGTTTATTTACCTTATTAGAAAGTAAAATTAAAACAATCCTGTTTTTCTAGTATTTATTATTTTAGGAAATTTTAGTTTGAAAGCGCTAATAATGTCTTTTGAACACACAATTATTAGTTATTCCATAGTCTACACAAGTAATTTTATGTGTTATTCACTTTAAAGAGAAAAAAAAAAAAAAAAAAACTGATCAATTGAAATTTAAAATTAGCTTCTTTTTTTAAACCTCATTCCCTATATCATGTGAACACCCACTAAATTAATAATTCGTAATTTTGAAGTGAACACGTTAATACCTATATATAAAAGGAAAAAAATTTGATCTTATAATAATAATAATTATTATCATCATCATCATCAATAATAAATATACGTTCTCCTGAAAATAAGTCCTACTAAAAGTCAAGAGAAGAGTGTAAGATAGTCCACTTTCAAAGGACCACATTAGATTTAAAAAATAAAAATAAAAATAGTAGTTGACGAAGTTGAATGAAAAATTGAAAATTTTAATGTTTTTTTTTTTTTCCGCTTAATAACTCAAGAAACCGACAACTTTTGACCTTTGCGTTCATGTAATCTTTGTCTTTTTTTCCCTCACGCAAAACACTCTTAAAATATGCTTTAAAAGGACTTAAAATATAATATGTAAGAATTTGGATAATGCAAAACCAACGAACCTTTCCAAACTATTATCATGAATATTTTTTATTAATTACTATTATACCCACCTAACCCTTTATTAACTTCATTAATTCATATTTAAATTGTCGGCATATCCTCACATACATTCACTATCTTTCTCTCTCTCTCTCTTGGTTTTTTTTTTTTAGAGCAAGGACCGTAATATTTTTGTTTAACCGAAACAAAGTTTATATATATATATATATATATATATTTAACCGAAACAAAGTTTTTATATGAAAAAATCTTTGTGGAAATACTAAATTTGTATGATAAACAGAATAAACAGTTGAACTATTATTTCAAGATAGAAAAAGAAGGATTTTTCTTCTTCCACTCTTTATGATTGACATGCACATGAATTTACAAGGGAGATAAAATTGAGATCCACAAGAAACAAATCTCCAATTCTTTTAAAATACTGTGATTAGTCCCTAATGTACAAGTTCTATGGATTGATACGATAAAATCTTTTAGATCTAGTCCCTAATTTCTATAATTGTAATAAAAAACCACAAAAAAATACACAAAAAAGATAAATCTAAATATGAAACTGCATTTTAATAAAGATCTATGTAGAGCAAACGCGCGTGTTACCACTATATAGTTAGTTATTTATTTATTTTTTGACTGAATGATGTGAATGGACAACTAGTACTGAGGAAGAATTTCATATCCTAATTGCATTGCCATTAAAAAAAAACTAGTAATAAAAAAGTTGAATTTAAATTTTTATAAGAGAAAATACTGTAATTGTGAAAAGAATAAGGCCGTACAAATCGGAAGCTAAACCCATCATACATCACAAAGAAAAGAGGGAGAAAAAGAAAAAGAAAGGGAGAGGAGTCCGAGCTAGGCTAGATGCCCAACGTAACTCCCTCGTATATCAAATATTTAATTCTTTATCTAAGCACAAATATTTAACTTCTTTAACACTTTAATTAGTTTCTAAATTTAGTTATTGCAAAGCTAGTTGGAAGCGGCTAGCTAATTAATTAGGAAAGGTAATTGATAAAGGTGAAATAATTATTATCATTTAATTGGTGTACTTGAGCACAATATAATATTTGGAGACAGTGTTTCAGCATATATATTAAGATATGATGGAGATAAATACATATATTATGCATGTGATCAACTAATTCCTGAATTTTGTACATGTATTATATGCGGGTTTCGATACTTTATATATAAGTGCTAGCCTATAATTTCCTCAATATGAAGGGCTAGTCCTTGAATTAAAAAAGGATAAAAAAGAAATATGGAGTGATATTTCGGCATGAACAATTAAATTTAAAGGAATACACTTTTAAAAATTTGATATTTGACATGTATTTTTTTACACATAAAAAAAAGTCATATGAAAGTGGTGTGTATAATTAGTAGAGGTACTCAGCCTAATTTAGGTTGTGTAACCGTCATGTTTAAGGATTTAAATCTGTTGTCTAATTTTAGTGTCTTAATTAGTGTCTAACCAATCAAATCATGCCACGTCATGTAAAAAATTCATATTCATGAGACGACGTAGTATTATTTAATTAGTTAGATACTAATTATGACATTAAAAATTGAACAGCAGATTTGGATTCCATATTTGACGCTTGACTTTAAGATTTTGTGGAATAGCAAAATAACATTTCAAAAAAATATATATATTCAAAGTTATATATTCTCAAATGATGAAACAATTGAAGATCACATTTAAAATTTCTCTCGGATAACCGTCTTGCTTTTTGAAAACAGGGTAACCATCTTGCTTTACTAAAAGATAATTGTGTCTGTTTGAAGTTAATTGTCTGATTAGTATAACACAAAGAACAATATCAACATAATTTTTAAAATATATATAATGGGTAAATTATTGTGTTTCGATTTAATTAAAAATAGATTTTTTGTCATTATTCCTTCTTAATTTCTTATTTTTAGGGTTATGACAATTAATTAGCATTTAGTTAATCTAAACGTCTTACATGTTATTTTGAAAACTTTAATCTTAAGAGTGTATATAATTTGCCCTATATTTTGCTTGTACCCCACTGAAAAGCTAGCTAATAAACATATGGCTCCTATAATTAGACCCCTTGGGGCAGATTCTTAAGATCTGTCTACAATGATCTACCTAGTTTGGTCTCAATCACTTATGCATGTTTGGCAAAGTTATATATATATATATATATATCTATACATATATGTGTGTGTCTTGCATAGTTACATACGTACGACATGAATATATCATGTATTCTGAAAAAGAACAATAACAGAAATAAAATATATGGAAGAATTACACTGACACCCTCAATGTTTTGTCTACATTGAAGATACTTTTTTTATCACAACATTTTACAATGAGACGTTTGGTTGGTGGATTCGTACCATGATTCGTAATTCGTTATAGTATTTTTTCTCATAAAAACATACGTAAATTGAAAATAGTTCTAAATTATGATTATTAATCCATGAACCAAACGCATTCGAGACCCTTTTATACTAACTTTGTTAATTTTTTAAAGTAAAATAAGTAATGTACCATATAATTTTGACCGCATTAATCTCAGCCCTTTATAATGATATATATATATATATATATTACAATTATAGTGTAATTTATAGATGCGTATGTCCAAATATCACTTAATTAACATAATCTTTTTGAGAAGATTAATTAACATATTTTTCATAGAATAAATAAGGGTAAAATCATTTTTGGACCTATGTATTTGATTTTGGGATTATTTTCTCATGGAGAGAGGGGTATTTTTGTCATTTACGGATATTTAATGCTCAAGCTACACTGTTCTGCTAGTCAAACTAACATAAGCCGGAGGGGGATCTTTGTATAATTCTTTTGAAAACTCAAAGGCTGTTATATGATTCACATTTGGTTGGAGGATTCAAATCATGTGATTCGAATCATTTTTTATTTACGTAAATTTTTTGTGAGAGATAATACTGTAGCGAACCATGAATCATGATTCGAATCAGGGAACGAATCCCTCCACCAAACATCTTCGCCAAAAACAGGGTGTTTAAGTGTAAAAATCTCTAAAAATATTGCTTCATATATATATATATATATATATATATGGATTACATGTATTTTAAGGAATATTACGTTTATCTTTTTATGGTAGTGCATTCCTATCATGGTCTGGTACTGCATACTTTTAACGTTAGATTTTAATCAAAATGAAATTAAAATAAAAAAATATGTAAATTTGACAGAATCTAATAATTTAAACTTAAATCCTATTAATAGAGTATTAGAATTCTTGATAAAAGATATAAGAGGATGGGAGAGGTAGGAGAGTATGTAAGACGATAGACCAAAAAAAGCCTATTCAAAAAGTTATTGGCACACAAAAACTATAATACATATTTAAAAAAGTAAGTAAAACGATTAAAAACTGATCGTATAGAAATTCTCTTTTATTTTCTTCAAAATAATTAGCATAGAGAAAGAAAACCAAAAATATAAAATATAAAATATATAAAAAAAAAATTGGGATATAAAAGCCTGTAATAAAAAGAGAATTGTTGAGAGAATTAGAGAACAAAATCTAGGTTAGGGCCCTTTTTCTTTGGCGGAAGTGTTGTCCACGTGGTTATAGTGCGTGTGGGGTTTTTTTGCAAACAAACTTTTGGTGAGTGAGCTTTAAACATTATTGATTTTGCTTTACAATCTGACGGCAGGCAAGAGAGGAGAGAAGAGAAGTGAAGGGTATGATTGGCTTTATTGGCCTATAAATTCAGGACAAAACTTGCCTTTGATTCAGCAATATCACAAAACAAACTCAAAGCCTAACAAAAGAAACGGCTCTCAAAGTTCACACACATTTCACTTCAACTTTAAACCTCTCTAATCTGTAGAGAGAGAGAGAGAAAGAGTTACAACATATATATATATATATACATATATATATATATAAATATATATATATATATATGGAAGGAAGAAGACAAGAGGCAATAATGGAGTACCACAAGGGAGAGAATGTGATGAGGAGTGAAAATATTATGCAGGGAGGAGCTCAAGACAACACTGTTGATTGGCGCGGCAAACCTTCCAAACCTCACACCCATGGTGGGATGAGGGCTGCAACTTTTGTTCTCGGTATGCATATGATTGTTGTTTCAAAACTTTGAATCACAGTTCAAAATCTTTTTAGTACAGTATTTTCTTTCATAAAAATGCTGAATTTCTGTTCAAATTTGACGTTCGAACCTGTGAATCAAACGATAATTCCTAGACTTTTTCTTTCATTTTTCTTTCTCTATGGCCTTTTTCTTTCATTTTTATTTATTATTTTTTTATATGACGATATATGTGTAAAGATCTCAACCAAAAAGCCAAGTTCACTGGATATTAGAATTCTCCCTTTTTTGGTAATTTTGTGAAGATGGCTATACCACTATAGCTAGCTCTTTCCCAACCAAGGCAAACATCAATGGATACCTTCAAGCATATTCTTTATCTTTTTCTTGAAGTGGGTTTACCATTATTTAAATATTTATATTTATATACAATATGTTTGACTCTGAATTTAATTAAAGTAACAGTATCAAATTCAGAAAAAAGCTTTTAGTAGCAAACATCATTAATCATGTCTGATCTCTTTATTGGGTGACAAACATATGCGTACTTAATTATAGCTAAACCTCTAGCTATATAGCTAAACATGTTTAGTGGTTTTGTGGTGCTTGTATGAATGAATCATATTATATGATTATATGACATTATATTATATTATATTATATTATATTATATATATATTGTTGTAGGTCTTCAATGTTTTGAGATAATGGCAATAGCAGCAGTGGGGAACAACCTCATAACGTATGTGATAAACGAGATGCACTTCTCATTGTCAAAGTCAGCAAACGTAGTGACAAACTTTGTTGGAACTGTCTTTCTTTTGGCCCTTCTTGGTGGATATCTTTCCGATTCTTATCTTGGGAGTTTCTGGACCATGCTCATCTTTGGCTTCGTTGAACTTTCAGTAAGCATTACCAATATTACTACTACTCTATCTTTTTTATTTATTTATTAAAAATAAATCACTTCTCTCTCTCTCTCTCTCTCTCTCTCTCTTATGTGGCTGAAATTCACATTTGTCAACTTCTGTCTGAAGTACACAGATAATCTTATCCAAACCCAAAAGGAAAAGCTTATTGGATATATAACTTTGATTTTGACTAAAATCTTTAACTACAATTTACTTCTTTTTTTTTTTTTTTTTTTTTTGGGTGATTTTTCCTCCAAAATTATTCATTCTTTTTTTGGTAGAAACAAAACTATTCCATTCTTGACTGAATGGCAATTCATTAGATTACTTTGGCAATTCATTAGAAAGCACCTTTTTTGGTAATGCCTTTGACAGCGCACAACTTTTGAATATATCACAACACATGCACAGTAACATGTTATCTTCCTATTAAAAAAAATTAAAATAAAACCTTATGTAACTTACAAAGAATTCTGTAGTAGGTATAAAAAAAATTTACTAGTGAGACAGAATTATAGATGATCATATTATATTAAAAGTATATCATACTAAAAAAAAATTACAACATCATGGCGAAACTTGATGAAAATTTACCGGTTCAGAACTACATTTATCGATAATTAGGTGTGAAAATATCATGTAGATAAATAGACACAAAGGGCATGTTTAATTTGCTGATTCGAGTTTTTAATTCGAATTGAAATGTGATTTTATGTGAGAACTTTTTAATGTAACAAAACTTGAATCGGTGAAATGAACGAGGCCTAATATAGCCCCCTAGCTCTTTTTTTTTTTTTTTGGTTGAATAATTAATTGAATTTACATGCAGGGCTTCATATTACTCTCAGTCCAAGCTCATATGCCTCAGTTAATGCCACCCAAATGCAACACAACCAATGGAGATCTTTGTGAAGAAGCCAAAGGTTTCAAGGCCTTAATATTCTTCTTAGCACTTTACTTGGTGGCTTTAGGGAGTGGCTGTGTTAAGCCCAATATGGTAGCCCATGGAGCTGACCAGTTCAATCCAGATCAGAGCCCAAATCAAAGCAGGAAGCTCTCCTCCTACTTCAATGCTGCCTACTTAGCCTTCTCCATTGGTGAACTCATAGCTCTCACTGTCCTTGTTTGGGTCCAAACTCACTCCGGCATGGACGTCGGTTTCGGAGTCTCCGCCGCAGCGATGGCGATGGGGCTCATCAGCTTGGTCTCCGGTACTTTGTATTACCGGAATAAGCCTCCTCAAGGAAGCATTTTCACCCCTATTGCTCAAGTAAAGTTCCTTTAAGTACTTACCAAGCTAATTAATTATAATATTAATTTTATTATTGTCAAATTATTGTTAGGTTATGTCTGTAATTACATCATAATTTTTTTTTTCCTAATGTTTTTGTGTGTGCCTGTTTAGAAATTTTGGTCAATTTCTTATGGTATTTGAATTTGAGCCACTAATTGTGGCTGAAAAACAAGCACAAGTACTGTTATGAGATTCAACCCTTTTTTATTTATGGTGTTTATATCCTCCTTTACTGATCAAGAACAGTACTATATGAGTCAATGGTTAGTTGTATTGTTGCTTTATATATATAATGGGTTATGACTATTGGTCTCTTCTGAAAATGACTTCAATTTTGTTTGTTCCGGTAATAAAAGATAAAAGTCCAGACTCATGCACAAAAATATGACTTTTTTTTTGGATAAATGGATATGATGTGACTTGGTTACGTATGTATGTATATATAGATTTTATCTCGGTTTAGTCGATGCAACACATATAAAAATAAAAATATCAAATTAGCCGATATAACATGTATAAATAAAAAATATATATTATAATATAATATTTATTCAATGTAATAATTAAAAAACATTTTTTTTGCAGGTATTTGTGGCCGCAATATTGAAAAGAAAGCAGGTTTGTCCATCAAACCCACAAATGCTTAATGGAAGCCAAAACAACAACTTTGTTAATGGGACCACCGCTGCTCTCTCTTCTGACCCTGGCAATCTTCTTCATACCCAAAAGTTCAGGTAAAAATATAATCCCTAATTCTAAATTCATGTTTTATTATTTTTTTTTTTCATGTTCTTTTTTAAGGGTAATCTTCTGCTATTACTATTACTATTATTGTTATTATCATTATTATTCTGGAAATGCATTCATTTTTTGAATGGTACATTTGCACTTAAACATTTTTTTTTAGAAAAAGAGAGAATAATTGACATAATAAAAATCTTAATACATCCCAAGTGGGATCCACTAAAAACAAAATTGATTTTTGTTTTCACCTTAAACTATATCTCTACATTCATTCAATATATATATATATATATATATATATATTAAGTTTCCATGTGATCATGTCCTATATGTATGTATTTATATTTTAGAACTTTGTTTCACATATATACTTTCAATTACTCGTGACACATAAATTAATATGTAAAGTTATTCCCTTTATGAAAAAAAGAAAAAAAAAAGCGCTACAATAACACTTGTTGCATTTCGTCTCATTCTCGAGAGTTGGTCGTTACATTAATCCTACTACATGATGTTTCAAGATTCTTGACATTTTTTAGTTAGAGCATATATATATTGCCAACCTCACTAATATTATACTACTTATGTGAAACTAAAAAAGAAAAAGGATTCACTTTTTGTCACTGTGCCGACATGATTTATATTATTGTAATTATGCATGCTTTTTTTTTTTTTCCAAAAGTTAATTGTCATGCAATTACACACACATATTTGTATTTTTTTTTCTTTAGAAATTAGTTTTGGGGTTTATTTTTATTTTATCCTGATTCCACGTAAAGAAATAAAGTAAAACTACGTTTGTTTTGCTAGTTCAAATCACAACTCTAGTTTTTGTTACAATGTCTTCTCTTACAAAAACATTAAATTAACTTTTTTTTTTTTACATCACTGAATACATATTAATATATATGTATATATATTTTTTTTTAAATTACTCAATTGATGACTGATCAATTGCAAATTATTTAACAAACTATTTCAGATTCTTGGACAAAGCTTGCATAAGAGTTAGCCAAGACGCAGGCACAAAAGAATCCCCATGGACACTATGCACCATTACTCAAGTGGAGCAAGCAAAAACACTTCTCTCAGTCATTCCCATCTTTGCTTGCACCATTGTTTTCAACACCATTTTAGCTCAACTCCAAACTTTCTCAGTCCAACAAGGAAGTATAATGGACACACACCTAACAAAATCCTTCCAAATCCCCCCAGCCTCCCTCCAATCCATCCCTTACATAATCCTCATCTTCCTCGTCCCGCTATACGACACTTTCTTCGTCCCTTTCGCCCGGAGATTCACCGGCCACATCTCCGGTATCTCCCCCTTGCAAAGAATAGGGTTCGGCCTGTTTTTCGCGACGTTCTCGATGGTTTCGGCTGCCCTAATGGAGAAGAAGAGGAGGGACTCATTTCTCAACTCAGACAGGACCATTTCCATCTTCTGGATCACCCCTCAGTTCTTGATCTTCGGACTGTCGGAGATGTTCACCGCCATAGGCCTCATCGAGTTCTTCTACAAGCAATCCTTGAAAGGGATGCAGGCTTTCTTGACGGCCATGACATATTGCTCCTACTCTTTTGGCTTCTATTTCAGCTCGGTTCTGGTTTCTCTCGTCAACAAGATCACCTCCAACTCTAATGGATCAGGTTGGCTTAGTGACAATAATCTCAACAAAGACAGGCTTGATCTCTTCTATTGGCTATTAGCAGTCCTTAGTTTCCTCAACTTTCTCAACTATCTCTTTTGGTCTAGATGGTATTCATATAATCCATCTATATCAACTAGTGGGAATGGTGGTCACCACAACATGGATGACCAAAATAAGCTCCATACCTCCAATTTGTCAAAAAGTAATAATGTCCAATTGGATGATGAGAATATACCTTAGTTGTGACAATTATGTTATGATAATATATATATATAAATATATATATATATATGCTAGATTTTATTGGTCTAGCAGGGTCTATATATTGTGTAATATATTTAAGTAGAGTCTAAGAATCATTCAAGGATGGGAAATTCAAGTAGTGCTCTCTTGAGGCTTGGTTTATGTACAGAAATATAATGCTACGTAAGGCACAATATATGGTAAAAGTTACAATATCCATGTATTTTAGTCCTTTTGAAATTAATTAAAAGCCAATATTTGCACAAGATATATATTGTTGACTTATTCTTATTATTATTATTATTATTATTATTATTATTATTATTATTATTATTATGAGCACCCAATGTCTACCTCTATAAGAATAGCTAGCTTCCACTTAATAAAAGAAAAGAAAAAAAAAGAATTCAACAAAATAAAACAGGCTCTCTATACTTACAAACTCAGCATTATAAACTAAAGATTAATGTTTTTATTATAAAAGTGGAAATCAAGCTAATATTTAGAGTATTGTATAATTACTTGTTTATGACCAAATTAAAATTAATGCAAACAAGGAATAAAGAATGTTGTTAATGTAAAATATATTATTTTAAGGGGAATAAAAGGTGATGCACTTTTAGACGACCAAGTAATCTGTTTTGAGAGACAAAGATATATGTGTGAGAAATGAACGCATTGACAAGATTCATTGCATATATTACCGCTTTGTAAGGAAAGCTGGTGAGTTGGTTGGTTGGCCTCTAATTCTATCATTTCAATATTTCATAGGTAGGGAGGGGCCTTTCCATCACTTTCTTTTTGGGGAGACATAAATTAAGGACAATGTAAGTGGTGCCGCGAACCTAGCAACTTTAGTGCTTTCTTACCTTACTTAGAAATAAAGTTGGTGCTTTCAAGTAAATCTAACTAACCTGATTTGATGCATGCATATGCTGGATAAATATATATATATATATATATATTTATGAATTGTCTTTAATTCAGCATCGGATTAAAACGACACATATATATTTAATTAAAAATATGTATATTTCTTTTTAAAAATATGTATATTTTCTCTTATAACATGTATATAAGTGTTTCAAAAACTTATAAGTGTCTCTCCACATTATACATATTTTAAAAGGAAATATACATGTGTCATTCCAATCCGGTGTCGAATCGAAGACTTTACCTATATATATATATATATATATTTATTTATTTATTTACATTGATGGCATTTGAGAATATGCACTTGTTTTATTTTACTCTCGATATTTATTTTTAGAGGTCTAATTATCCGAGATTTTAGTATAATCTAATTCTAAACATGACCATGACATGTGAGGGTATTAAAAAAGATAAAATACATTTTGTCTAAAGATAGACAGTTTATGAACTCAAAGGCTAATATTGAAAATTTGCTAACAAATCAAAGTTTGAACACAGTAATAAAGCCACAAAAGAACTAATTATATTTAAAAAATTTAATATCATATATATTTATACGAAGGATTATTATTATTGGTGTCCTTAAATTTTAGGGTCATTCTCAGTTTATTCCCTGAATTTTAACAACTCTCACTTTATCCCCTAAATTTTAAATTGTTCCCACTTAAACCTTTTTTGTTGTAATTTATGCTAAAAATAGATAGATAAAAAAAAAGAGAGAAATGCAGTCACCTGATCTTTCTATTTGAATTTTTGTTAAAAATAAACAGATAAAACCACATGATCACACTTAAACCTCCATTTTTCTCTCTGATTTTAATAAAAAAATACAATATAATGGGTTAAATGGGAACAATTTAAAGTTTAAGAGGTAAATTGATAATTTATAAAGTTTATGAGGCAAATTGAAATTGATTTTTAAAATTCAGATGCACCGATAATAATAATCCTTATATGAATATGGAGACGGAGGTGGAGTGGGGAGTATTTGTTCCATCTCCCTCCTGCTACGACTTGAGGACAAGATTTTGTTCTCATCTTTGTTCTTTTTGAGGGCAGGTTCTTGTGTGACTCCATCCCCCTAAGAAACACCACCATCTCTAAATGTCCGAAGATCAAAGTGATACAAAGTGTAGATCCTTACGGGTGGCCCTATACACATACACACGCACAAACTAGACACAAGATGGATAAAGTCAAAAGTAAAAGTGATTCCTTGAAGGAAAGAAAGAAATCTGAAGCCTCTGTGATAAGCTGTTTTATATACCTTTCTACGAAGAGAGACATGTCTGAAACATGTCTTGTATGTTGGAGCTAGGTCCCATTTACAACTTTGTTTTCCTCCAACACTAGTGGGAAATGTACATAAAAGTGTTGGCTAAAAGATTGGCATATATTTTTAACTTATAGGGTCCCCCTCACCGAACCCTCAAGCTAGCTAAATACATACTTATTCATGGCTACTACTAACAACTCCCCCTTTTCGGTCACAAAGTTGATTTTAGTAAAACCCTTGTTTGGTATTGCTTTTTTACTTTTGCGTTTTTTTTTAATCGAAATTTTTACTTTTTTCCTTTATATAATAGAATAAGAGTGATAAAATTTTGGTTTTCTTACTCCCATTCTACAATACTACTACTATAGGAGGTCGATTTTTACTGTTCAAAGAACAGTGTGTTTCCTTTTTTGCTTTTAATATTTGATTCATGCATTAAAATCATGTGATTAGAATCATTTTCAATTTACGTGTATTTTTTATAACGAATCACGAATCATAATTCAAATCAAGTGACGAATTTCCCGACCAAACAATCCATTTTTTTCCTTTTTTTTCATCCCTAGACACGTGACTGTCTATTTTTTTTTCTTTTCTCTGTGCTGTACCTGCGCACTAAATCTGAGTCGGGGGGGCCTACTTCACATGCCAGCATGCCCCTCTCCCTAACGTGACGCCACGTGTCCAAGCCAAATGGAGATATACATGCGTAGCAAATCCTCGATCGTCTAAACAAGACCACTTTTGTCCTCTTTTCTAGAACCGGATCTAGTGAAACAAAGTAATGTAATCAAAATCAAGTTAAATTTCTACATTTGTTATTTATAGTCTTATCCTCAATAATTTATACTTTTTTATATGTTCTTTATGTTTCAATTTAAATATTTCTTACAAATTATTCTAAATATCATTTTTCAAACGTAACCTCTATAATTTTTTTAATTACTTTATTGAATTAATTATTCTCAAATGTGTTCAAAGTTTTTATTTATTTCATATTTACTTTATTAAATGATATGGGCAATTTTATTAAAATTTTGATAATTAAATAAATTATAATTATTTCCCATTAGTACTAAACATTTCCTTCAAATTTCATTCAACCAAGTAAGATCTCCTCACAAAATAATGAAACTTCAAACAATTAAAATTAAGTTGAATTAAAGAAAATGAGCATTTAACATAATTTAATAAAAAAATATTATGATTAATTAAATAAGACTTTTTCTATTATGAGAATAAATTTGTAATAATTTCTTTTAAACATAGTCACACAGCAAGCACGTGCCTAAGGTGCACCTAAGTACAACGTAAATAAATTAATTTGAGACTCAAAATTTATTTAAGTACAACGTAAATAGGCCCCATAATCAATAACATAGTCTATTTAAAGTGGCATAATTAGAGACTCAAAATATATATGTGAAATTGGCCACATAATCACGTTCGTACTATAATTAATTTGATGACTAAGCTGCACCTAAGTACAACGTAAATAAAAACATACGATTTGTTGATGTCCTTTGATATACGTACAGTTCAAGTGAAGATGTTGCTTTTTATAATGACCTACATGGTTGGAAAAATACAGTACATAATTAAAATGCATTTTTGATCTGAAAAGCACAATAAATTCAACTTCTAATATTGTTAATTATTTTTTTTAACATGCTATTAATTAGTTAGAAACATGTTATATGCGTGCATATTAAAGGAGATAAGACATTCACTAGAAATAAACAAAAGCTTATTTCCATTCCTGAAATTTATTTAAATTAATTGCAACATTTAAAGGGTTTAATTACATAGTTGTTACAAACATATTTATTCTCAGGATTAATTCGCAACTTAATTCTGAAATTAAAATGCAATAGCATTTTTTAAATCAAAGGTGTGCACATTAAATGTCAATTTCTGATTCACTCATGCATAATTTTGAGTGCACCAATCTATCAACTCAATCTCCACATTGACCCGTCATTAATGTGTAGTAGGTCCCACTCAAAATTAATTAGACGTTTGGTTCATGGATTTAAAATCATGATTCAGAACTATTTTTGATTTATATGTGTTTTTTTATGAGAGAAAATAATGTAGCGAGCCGAACTATCAATAGGTTTACCACACTAAAGGATGTATCCCATGTTTTAGGGAAAATTATATTTTAGTCGGTTTAAATTTTAAATTTAAATGGACCACAAAACTGAAAATATTTATTTTATTTTATTTAAAAATAAAACCATTTACAACATTAAAAAGCTAAGATTTTTTTTTTTTCGCCATTTGGGTTTTTAAAGAACATTGATTTGAATAGAAAGAAAAAATGTTTTTTTCGTTGCTATGTTTTACATATTTTTAAAAGAACTCCTACGATGGATATTTCAGTGAGCATTTGGATTTTCCGTTGCTCTAAAATGCACACACTACGACAAGAAACTCCTAAAGATAAAGCAGCAGATATACCCCCGCCGCGTAAATACCAATCATTTTTCTACATATTAAAGTGTTTTTTTGTTTTTTTTTGTTTTTTTAATAAACAGTTGTAGATTAGTATGTGAGACTACTACTTAAAACGTTGAGGCTACCCTTCGTCCCATCACAACCATTGATATTTAATCAAGCGGACTTAAATTTCATGCTGACTCATCTGGTGTCTTTTTAGGTAGATAATTCTTATATATATACACAAATATATATATATATAATATTTATGTGTGTTAAAAATATCTTTCCCAGACATAAATGTGATACTCTTTAGACATTCATTTAAAAAAAAAAAATTTAAACTTCAAAGTTTTGTCCTCGTTTTTCTGGAAGAACTTTTAAGAAGCCATCTGAATTGATTAGCCCAAAAAAAAAAAAAAAAAAAAAAAAAAAAAAAAAAACATTTAAATTTTTTAAAAAAAAAGAAGTCATCTGAATTTTTCATCATTTTTGTCTAATTAGTTTCTGCATCATGGAAAAACATTTTTTTTCCCCAATCCACGCAATCTTTGTTGTTTAGTTGTATATTATTTGTTTGTTTGATTTAGCTATGAGGTAATTTCAAAATTGTCCTCCTGACTTTTAATATGTTGCATGTTCATCCAGATTTTATTCTATTTTAATTTTGATCATTCTATTAGCTAAGTGTTATATATTTGATGAGATTTATGGAAATTAAGAATTAAAATTGAAAACATCTAACTAAAAATAATACAAAAATAAAAATTAATTTCTAAAGATGGTCCTTAAATTCTAACTGTTTCTTAATTTTAGTTCTTAATTCACACAAATTTTGTTAAATATTTAACACTTAGCTGATGAAATAACAAAAATTAAAACAGTGTAAAACTTCAAGAACCAATTGCTGCACTTTTTAAAGTAAAGAATAAAAGTAAAATTAAGGGTAAATTTTAAAAACCACTTGTGAAATTAACCTTATTATTTATGGTGGAAAGCCTTTGGACATGACATTTTTTTGTTTATTTTTGTTGACCTCAAAAGCGGGTTCAGCTAGCCACAAGGCCTACAACCACTCCCAATATCACAATAGAAGAGAAAATTAAAAATTCTACCTATTTAAAAATCTGACTTACTAAAAGTGCTAATCTTAAAAAATTATCCGTTCACTTATTCTAATCTAAAAAGTAAAAATGTATAGATTAATATTAAGGAATAAAATAAAAAAAGACTCCATTTTAAGATGTATTTTTAAAAATTGCCCCAATGAATGAAAAAGGAAAACTCATCAGAGACATAGAAATCAGGTTAAACAATTTCAGACACCGATTTGAGTTTTTAATTCTAGATTTATACAGTAAAAAACTCTCAAAAAATGTCACATCTAACTTTTTCTGTTACAGTGAAAAGTTCTTATAAAATGTCACATCTCAACTCGAATTGAAAACTCAAATCCGCGAAGTGAACGATGCCTCAGTAACTTCCTTTTTTTTTCTTTTTACATTCTGAAATCACACGAAGTAACTTCCTTTTTTTTTCTTTTTACATTCTGAAATCACACGAACTCACGTTATGAACTCAAGCTTGAAACTGGAGGCTGGAGCCTTGCGCCAAGTCTTACCATCTTTAAAAGTTAGGTTAGGACTAATATTTGTCATGTAGGTGCCCAGTTGGACCGACCAAGTGGCTAGTGAGAGAAGATCAAGTGAACATTTAGTTTATAAATTTAAAATTATAATTCAGAATTATTTTCAATTTACGTGTTTTTTTATGAGAAAAAATAATGTAACAAGCCACGAACCATAATTCAAATTATGACACGAATCTACTAACTAAACGCACGACAAATGTCCAAGCATTCCAACCAACACCCATGGGTTAACTTCTTTTTATCTTTTAATAGAAGAAATTTGCATCTCGTTTACTAGCATAGTATGAAGCCATCACTCCAAACAGCTTCTTAAAAGCCAAAAAACAACGATCAAGTGAAGATAAAAAAAAAAAAAAAGAGTAAAAATTAGCACCTGAGTAATAGATCCATACATGGAACATCCATTCCCTTTCGGCCATCTGCTCAGTATATTAAAGCAAATAGGTACAGAACAAAGAAATATAATAATGCAAGTTAAAAAGGGCCTTAATCATCAGTCTCAACGGTTCCCCCCTTAAGGTGCAAGTGTTTCTCTCTCTTTTGGAACTCTGTTAAACCCTTCCCGCTTCCGGTCACACCAACCTTACCGTGAGGATCATCGGGAGACTTGAAGATGCTCTCCCGCTTGCGTCCCGAGAAGAAACCGACCTGAAAATGCATGAAAAGGAGCAGGGATTAGGAAAAACATAATGGATCACATGCAGTTAGTGTCGTTCTGACATTAAGCTTTCGGGCCTAAAGTAAACAAGTTAAAGACGCAGAGGACTATCAATATCTTGTATATATTTTCAACCAGATTATCAAATCCATCAGTTAAAATCTAAATACTTGTTTACTTATAGTGGGTTTAGAACACAAATGATTCTAGTGATCCACTAAAAACAAATATTTGTATATTGGCACAAGAAGAAATGCTAACACCACTTTTTCTTTCACTTTTTTTGTCACTTTCTGCATTCAGAATCCACTAACACGATATATTATTATTTAAACAAAAAATGAGATAGTAGAGTCCACGTGTCAAACAGTGAATGCAAAAAGTGAAAAAATAGTGGTAGAAAGAGTGATGCTATCATTTCTCACAGGGACAATGTTCACACAGACGAATAGGAATAATTGATTACTATTCTTCCTGTAGCCAAAGAGCAATTGGTCCAACGTTGCAACTTGCAAGCACAATCTTGAATATAAGAATATTAAAGCATACCTTTTTAGTCTTGCCTTTTGTCGACTGGAATTGCTGCCAAGCATTTTGGCGCTTATTCTGTGTAACTTCAAGCTGCTCAAACCTCATCTTTGACTTAAAAGCGTGTATCTTCTTTTTTTTGGTAATTTTCTGTGAATATTAAAGTTAGAAGGCATATCAAACAATAGCAACATAGAAAAATAGCACTCGGCAGAGAAAAATAAAATCAGAAAATGATGAAGATCATATCTGCCTTCAGAGAATAACACTACAGTCTTCAAAATCTAGGCAAAAATATATATTTTTTAATTAATAAAAGTAAACCCTACTTTTTACCCCTCTTCGTTCTTCCTACGCGTTCTCACCTCTCTCTCTGTGGTTGGGGGGGGGGGGGGGGTTTATTATACGGGATCGAACCTACAGCTCCCCCAAATCCCATCCCACTAGACCAAATAGTCTTAGGCAGTTCTTCTAAAAGGCTTGCAACTTTTGCAACAGAAAAGATAACCAAATGTTTTTCTTCCCAAGAAAAAAAGAAGGAAAAAAAAAGTTAAATTGTTATGAACTGAGAAGATCTGTGCATTCCATAGACATCAATTGGTGTAACCTACCACATCCTCAGGGTCATCTGGTTCTATGCGAAGTTTTGCGGGCAAGCTTCGTGATTGGAAGTCAGCAGAACCAGCTTGAGCAATTTTCCTTTTGATAGCTTGTTTTGTAGCTTCGGCCACCCTCTCAGCTTCCAACAATGCATTCACAGCGCCTTCTTCGATTGGCCTTATATTGTCAGGATCGACCTGGAATTAGGAAACATTATTGCGAAGAACATGAATATAAATATACATATGAACGTGATTATAAATATATATAAACCCAACCACTCCAACCAACCCCATTTTCTCTCTCCCATGCAATCATGACATAACTATCTTCTTAAGGATAACCTCTCGATCAATGACATCTCCCTCTGTTAGAAGGAAAAAGAAACCAAGCTTCTTCCTCTTCCCTCTCTCGCTCTCTCTCTCTGTCTCTCTCTGTAATTTCACTAACAAGTTCTCTTTTGAAAGGATAAGTTTCGGATCTCTCTCTCTCTCTCTCTCTCTCTCTCTCTGTAATTTCACTAACAAGTTCTCTTTTGAAAGGATAAGTTTCGGATGAAGAAACTATGTGAGAAAAGAGAAGAAAAGAGGATGTGAAAAGGAGGAAAAAGAAAAAAAAAACATCTAGCTATATATAATAGATAAAGAAAAAGAGGTAAAAGAAATAACTTTTAGCCTCATATAATGGATAATTGTATTCATTCCTGATAATTAAAATATAAAAAGAAAGAAGCATGAAACTAAAGCAAAAACAAAATAAAACGAAACAAGAGCTTCAATTGGTATAACTCAGTAGCTTGGCTACACAACACCCGTACCTCTTCTTTATTACCCCATCCATCGTAAGAGACGCAATACCCATTGGGAGTAAGATCTTCAATTGTTGCTTCGTACCTGAAAATTCAAATTTTTTTTATAAGAAAAAGCATTTAATTATTCAAGCACATAAAAAAAAGGACAGAAGTTGCAAAAGAAATATGAACATCAGTTTGTTAATCTTCAAATATATCCCTTTTTACCACACGCTTACATACCATTCCCCATCTTCACTATAAACAGCTTGCACCTTTGTGCCAACAGGATACTTCTCTTGATGATCAGAGACCCCCCCTGAATCCTGCAAGCAAAAGCAGAATAAAGTAAGAAAGAGAGAGATGGAGAGAGCTCTAACATCAGCACGCAATTACAGACACAAAATCGGGCGGAAAAAAAAAGTATGTGAAGACATGAACATTCTTTTAAAATAAGTGCGCATTGAAATAACAAGTAATTCATAAAATGCAAGAGGTAGACGATAATAACAGCCACCTTAAGAAAAAATAATTGCTTTTAGATTTTTTTATGAGAATTAACGATATAGCTTTGCTCTGAGCTTCACACATAAACCTTTACTGGTTTCCCTTTTTCTCTAATTATTGTATATATTGACTGTTTTATGCTTTTTGTTCTTCTCTGAGGATCCTTGGTATATATTTACATAATTATCAATAAAATTTTGTTTCTTATTAAAAATAAATAAATAAACACAACAGTGAACAGACAAATGCCCAATTGTGTTCTTTCCCAATAGTTATGCACGAGGCAATAAGCATAAATCTTCAACGTTGAAAAATTAAGAAATAATGGCAGCATTGTTGCGAACCATGCTGTATCAGGCCCAACAGCAAGTATGTCTTTTAGAGGCTAATGAACCAGCAACAATACTACCCAAAACAATTAAGTAGCAGAAAAGATAGAAAAGAGCATCGCTTTCAATCTTCACTTTAATTTATTCTTACAATTTTATAAACAGGAAAAATGTTTGGAAACCACCGGCTATTACATGTTTGGAAACACCACCTATTATATATTTGACATAGATCAAGAGCCCTTGGAAACCTCAAACTTTGTTCTACCCTGCTACAGCCAAACAAAAAACAAAACCATGTAAAATATTGTTTTACCTTCTCATTCCAATCGTATTGGGAAAAATCAGGAGCTGCACCAGAACTTTTCTCAATATTTGATCCAGAATTCTCATGTTGCTTTGCAGTTGAAAGCAGTTCTTCCGTTAGAGCAATTACCTGCATCCTTATAACTTTAGTTCCAAGCATAAAATTAATCAACTGTCTAGTATATAGATGTGATTACTAATGCATGAAGAACAAATCATAGTCAAATTCGAACTTAGAATCTGATTGTGAACATCTGAAATCAGGGTGTCAGAGAGGGAGAAAGAGAGCAGGCTGACCATCACGACTCATAGCACACCTGCAAGGAACCAAGATAGAAGTGATGTGCATCGTGATGAACTTCTAATTCTAGATTTAGATCCTTTTTTTTTTCTTTCAAAGACTTCCCATCTTTTGGAGTGTATAAACTTTAGTTAACATAAAACCGTCCTCACCTTAACAACCCTGTAATGTAAAAAAACCTCCAAAGTAGCCATTAGCAGTTAATTGATGTTGCTTGTTGAGCAACATGTTGGTTCCTTCAAAAGAGAGGAGGAAATAAAAGAAGAATGGTAATTGAACTGATCTAGACAACCAAAAAGTAATGTCTGAAACTGGTTTTACAATCCCTTAGACACAAGAGAAGACGCTGGCGCAGTTTTCACACAAAAACTATTCAAGTTGAGACTCGTTGAGATAATAAAAGTACATTATACGACTAGAACCTCAACTGCATATATCCGAGCAATGTTTACAGGAGAAGAAAAACTCCTAAACCGAAATTACCTCATTGAGCTCCCTTTCCATGTCAGCATATTCTGAGTTTCCAGGATCATCAGCCAAAAGCTGTTTGACCTGATTGACAAGGAAAGAAGAAATCGCTCAGTTGTATAATGCAAAACGAGGGGAGAAAAAAAAAATTTGTCCCAGTGACCTACATATAGATTTAGCAACATAGATTATGAGAAGAAGATAACATCCAATCTACTAGTCCAAAGCTTTTTGAGACAATTTGACTTTACATGATAGGAGCGGACCAAAACAGAAAATAACTAATCTCTAAGGCCTCGTTCAGTTCACGGATTCGAGTTTTTAATTCGAGTTGAGATGTGATTTTATGTGAGAGTTGTAGCAGAAAAGTTAGATGTCACTTTTTGTGAGAGCTTTTAACTATAGTAAAATTGGAATTAAAAGCTCGAATTGGTGAAATGAACGAGGCCTAAATCATTTTAAATCAAGCGTTCCAACTACAAAACATATATCAACGCTCTATAACACAAACAACAGGTATAAATTGCTTATAAATGATAAGGTTAATTTCACAAATAGTCCCTGAAGTTTACCCTCAATCTCACTTTAGTTCTTGAACTTTTAAAATGTCCTATAGTTGGTCCCTGAAGTTTTATTCTGTTTCAGTTTTGATCCTTCCATTAACTGAGTGTTTAACTATTTGTGAAAGTAGGGACTAAAATTGAAAGCAATTAAAATTTAGAGACTATTTGTAAATTAACCTTTATTTTTTGTGTTGTTTTAGTGCCTAAACTTTAGATGTTTCAAATTTTAATCCTTAATTTTTACAGATTCTGTCAAATATTTAACACCTAGCTAATGGAACGACCGAAACTTAAACAAAGCAAAACCTCAAGGATTAATTGTAGGATGTTTTAAAAGTCAGGGACTAAAGTGGAATTGAGGATTAATTAGGAGACGTTTTAAAAGTCAAGGACTAAATTGGGATTAAGGGTAAATTAAGGGACTATTTGTAAGATTAACCCTAAAAGATAAGATATTGGCATACTGTTTAAACAAAAGCTATTCAACATGTGTAAGCTGACTATAATTGTGGATTCACCTTTGAAAACTTCGTCCAATAAGCTGATGAGCATGATAACTTTTTCACAATTGTTTCAATAAAACCAGTACAAAATAAAATAAAGAGAATCCTTTAACGCAATCCAAAATTGTTACATAAGACATTTCCCCCAAGTCCTTCCTACCATAAAGACAACAATTTTGCACATTAGGCTGTGGATTGGATGTATAATCCATGCTTTTGTCAACCAATTTCGGGTCTAAGAAAAATTCAAAAGTCATAACATAATAACTATACAAAATAAAATAAAATACAATATCACTGATATGGAAGTCTAGTGCAATGTCAAGTACAGAAAAAAAAATAAATTCAAGAAAAAACCATACTAATGAGGAAAAGAAGCAATGTTTTACACTTTAAAGAAGCCTAAAATCCTAAACACGACTTTACTAAACACGTCCTTACTAAACACGTCCTAAAGAAAGCTAAAACTAATAAATTATGTATCTTTTTCAATTCAACAATTTCATCTGCTTTCGAATGTCTTTCTTTAACAGCCCCAAAACGTAAATAAATACGAATAAAAATGCAGAAAAGTTGGAAACTTTGAACCCTAAAAAGCGAAGAGCGAAAACCCAATTTCAATTACTCGAACCAGAAAGATCATATTATCCCCAATCCGATGTAAAAGCTGTATATATACATATATACATATAAAGAAATTCAAAAGAAGAAGAAGAAGAAGAAATACCTGGTGAAGCTGATCTTTGTATGTGGAGAGATTGGAGGCAAGCTCTTCTACGCTCACCTCTTCTCCTACATCGCCGCCTTGCATTTTAATCGTTGATTTAGGGTTTTAATCTCTCGAATTTGAATTCTCAGAAAAAACGACGAACAAGAAGGAAGAATCAAAGCAAAGAGGAAGAAGAAGAGAGAGAATTAGAAGAAAGTAGAAAGCAGAATTAAAGAAATCAAAAAAATCTTCCACTACACCACTTCGGCTTTGAGTGTTGACGATGTGATCTATTATGTTCTCCGCCCATCTGCCCTATCTAGGCCCAAACCTATATTTGCCCAGCCCATTATAATGATTCGTCTACGTTTATGAGTTGAGAATTATAATTCAAAATTATTCTTAATTTATGTATATTTTTTATAAAAAAGATATTATAATAAGTCACGAACCATAATCTGAACTATAATACGAATCATTATTCCAAATACAGCATTAAGTTGGGATTATGCTCGCGTTTCTTGATTATTATATATTTTTTTCTTTTTTCCGGGGTTGTAAAGGGACCTTCTCAGTACACCAACATATCAGTAGGTCAGGTTTTTTATCCGTTAAATATGAATAAGATTACGTAAAATTAAAAAGTACGTAAATTTAATGGTTAGAAAAATCTGACCTACTGGTACACCAGACTTATCAAAGAATCTCCATATAGTGAAATTTAAATGGTAAAGTTTGAATATGCACAAGTTTTTAGATATTATAAGTATATATATAATATAAAAATGCGATATCGTCTTGAGAATTATTATGTTGTTTTTACTATATTTATAATATGTTATTTTTATTATATTTAAAATATTTTGTAAATTTTGTTAAATTTCAACTCAAGGTATGAAATTTTGTCATATAATATAGGTTTTTTTTTTTTTTTTGTTAATCCAAGAAATGGGACTTGAATTTACTATCAATCTCTCTTTAATCATTTACTTCTAAAATGCCCCAAACTCAATTCAGTTTTAGTACCTTTTAGCAATTGGGTGTTAGAAAAAATAAAGCAAAATATGAGTGATATTCAATTAAAATATTGTTATGTATTATATTTATACCTCAAAATCATATGCATATTATGTGTTCAATCAGCAGAATGTTGTTTTCTGTCGGTATCATGTACATTTTTTGTCATCATTTTGATACTCAACTAATGCAAATGACTAAAATTGAAATAAATTGATAAATTAGGGTTAATTTGTAACATTTTGAAAATTATGAACTAAAATGAGATTAGGATGACCCCCCGTATGTGAAATTAACCTTTTTATTATTATTATTTGCTTCGTTGTGATGATGAACGTATACAAATTGTACATAAACATTGTCCACCTTTCAAGTTTCTAATTTTATTTCATTATCATAAATCTCTATCTTGCCCCCTATCTTGGGCTTTAATTCCTTTTTCTTTTTTTTTTTGTTGGTTAATTTCATTTTTCTCGATGATTAAAAATCACGAATGAGAAAAAGTTCACCCAATAAAATAATCATAAATTTAAAATTACATAATCATATTTAAAATAATATTGAGTGATATCATTATTTTGATTTAGTGATTTTTTTTAAAGGATTTAAAATTTTTTATTGGTTACTTTTTATCATCATGGGATTGAAATTAGAGATGTTTTTGTCATTATACCTATGAGTTTTGTAGGGACAAATATGACCACAAGAAAATAAAAAAAAAAAAACTGAATACCGTTGTTGCCACCATATTTCCCCCTTAAGTTTTCAAAAGAGTTGAAGAAAAACCATTAGCTACTTGGGGTTGTTCTTTTGCAACAAAACTCAGAAAAAATTTAAACTCAAGTTACAACTTTATTCAAGTTCACGTTCTTTTAAGTTCCAACTTTATTCAACTTTACTCAACTTTATTCAAGTTATAACTTCAACTCAAGTTATAACTCAAATTCAACTCAAAAATTACACTCAAGTCACATTCCAAAAGAACAACCCTGAAAACCCGAAAACGGCACATATGCTTTTAAAAATCAACAGTTTAAACAATTTTTTTAAATATTAATAAATAATAAGAACTATAAAAAACCAAAAAAAAAAAAAAGAGAGTAAATTCTATTTGCTTTTATCCCAAACTTAAAAAATAAAAAATCAAACAGGAAAAAAAAAACTCTCTCACACGTCAACCCCGAAACAAAAATTCTAAAACTTTGTTTTGTCTAATTTTTAAATAATTAATAATATTTAAATTTAAAGTAAGGACTTTTTAGTATTCCAAAAACTTTAGCTAGTTATCCTCCAAAAAAAAAAAAAAATTAGCTAGTTAAAGATTTTCTTAAAAAGAAATTATGAAATACTTAAGTGATAACTTCAGGAGAATTTGAAAGCATTAGGAATAGTTTCTAGATTGTCAAAAATGTAAAGACAGACGTAATATTTGGCTATAACTCAATCGGAACTTTTTAAATTTGTTTCATTTAGTATCCATTCTGAAACAGTCTACAAAACCTATTTTCTTATAGATTTTATTGGTATCTTCATAAAATAGCCTAGTTAACCTCTTTTAGGACGCATTCATTTTAACTTGATCTGCTTTATAAAAGTAAAATAATATGATCAGTAAAAAAAAAAAATTTGTCCATAAAAAAAAAAAAAAAAAAAAAAAACTTTTTGTCCCTCTTAAAAAAAAAAAAAAAGCAGGTCTTGCACAGTTGCACCTTTAAAAGCATATATTAGCATAAAAATTAGAACATCATATGTATCGTTTGAAAACAAACGAGATTATGAAGATAAAAACTAGGACACCCCACAAATCTTTGAAGACAAAGAAGTCATGCTTGTGATTGGAATCGCTTTCTCCGACACTTTCTATTTCTACATGTAAGTCGGATCCTTTCGATTCCAACTAATTGTTCAATAAGTCCTTAGATTCGAAGAACTTGGTAGAAAAGTGCTTTTGAAACGATCATCACGGCATCGTCGGTGTGGTGTCGAGAGAAGCTGCGATGTCCAGGGAGCGTCCAAGTAGTTCTATGTGATGCAAGAACTCAGCTAGCGCCATGTTAAACGTGAAAAAATCATGTGAAGACGCAAAAAAAAAAAAAAAAAAAAAAAAAAAAAAAAAAAGGGAGAAAAAAAAAAAAAAAAAAAAAAAAAAAAAAAAAGAACGAGAGCATAGTTTGGGGTTATCTATCGAGAGTAAAGATCTTCCATAGAAGAGCTTTGGCACCAACAGATACGGTTACTCTAAAATACATGAATTATACCTTGGGAAGTTGGAAGATGGCTTGTTTTTCCGTGTCATAATTGCATAGGTGATGATATTCTTTCAACCCTTTCTTTTTTTCAGAAATAGGTAGTTTTCTCTTTGTTAACAAAGTACATTTACAGATCTTGATATATATAGCACAAGTATTTTGAAGAAACGTGCATGGCATCCCAAAACACAGTCAAAGCTAGAGTAAGAGGGTAAGCGGACTTAGCAAAATATATCATCCACCAGAATCTTAGCATTATGATCGTAGTTATTCAATAAGCGAAAATATCCTAGCTAATTCATATAATCCAAAATAATGGCCTCCAAGCATGAAAAAATACACAAAATATAAGGGAAGAAACATATGTACATAGTAAAAGCATCCTCTCCTAAAGCTGGCCAACTAAGAAAGCCCTCACTCATTCATCTCTACCCTCATTCATTAAATAAGCAGATGTGTTTTTTGTAACTCCAGTAAGTAGTAAAATGACTCATTAGAGTGTTACTTAAGCCTCTTCATTATGTGCATTCTTTCACCATTTTTTTTTTTCACAAGATCGACGTTATTAAGATTGCGTCACACTTGATGCTTGTGTGAAAGACATGGATGGATTGTGCTTTATCCGTACCTCTCATATTATGAACAATATTGAAAACATCATCATCAAGATTAATGTTATCTCTTCCTTTCTTTTCAAGTTCTTCAGCCACATATAGAAGAGTCTAGGCATTAGTGAATAGGCCAAACTATACTGGTTGAGAAGCAAGTGTGAAAAACAATCTCATGGTATTTACAAATTAATTCACTAGTCTCGTTGTAAAAGTTGCTTCTTTTAATAAAATGCAGTCATGTAGAGGCACGATAAGAATGTCGAGAATCATGTATATGTGGATGAAGAACTTGAAAAGGAAGAAAGAGATGACATTAATCTCGATGATGCTATTCTCAAGTATTTATAAAATGATGGTTAAGAATGAAGCACCATCCATATCTTTTTCACAAGTACCATTTGTGATTCAATCTCAATTCACACGGTCTTATAAAAAAATGATAAAAAATGCATACAAGGGAGAGACTTATGAAGCACAGTCATCTTGCGTACTTGTTGGAGTTATTGAAAAGACATCTCGTTTAGGTCGAGCAATTGGTGAGGATATGATGAAGAAACCCATGAGACTTGGGGATGACTTAGAGAGGAACTACGACCATTACCACCATGTGGCCCACAATAGTTCATATGACAATGAAAGATGATGTTTCCCTTTTTTTTTTTTTTTTTTGTCCTGGATGAGATTATAGATGAATGGGTGAGAGCTCTCATTGCTAGCCATATCCATTTTAAAAGAGGTTGTTCTTACGAATTCCTTCTCTCCTTCATTCTCGCCAACATACAATTAAATTCCACTCCATTCTATATTCATCCAAACTCCATAATTCCCGTCCAAGTACTGATTCCACAAACTCTAAGCAAACAAAACAATCAGTATGTGTTTCTAATTCCATTTTCTATTCTATTCTATTCTACTCCTATTTCCATTAACATTGCTATTCCACCACTATAACTGTACGCACCTTTACAAAATAACAACTAAATAAAGATGTCAGATGCTCGCAGCTCTTGACTGGATCTCTGATTTTCCTTGTTCATGCTCTACCTGAAAATCATGTCCCACTACATTTTTCACCAACACTCATAAAAAATACATGTAGGCAGTTAGGAAGCACGACAATTTAATATGGAGAAATAAAATTTTGATGAAGATTTGTTCAAAGGAAGTTACCTTTTGTACTGAAAATCACATTCTACTTCAAAATTATACTAGTCTGTGATGGAACCAGTCATAATTCTAGAAATGACGCCCAATGAAAGGCAACCCCTAATGGATTTTTTGTTTTCTTTTTTTCCTTAACAACCCTTGACTACTACCAAAGATCATGGATGCATTTGTTTCGCGCGTTCAAATTTTGTGATTCCTTTATTTGATTTGAGATAAAATCCACACTTAGATTGAAATTCTAATTCGAATTGGTGTTTGAATGGAGTAAATCTGAATGTGTGTTTGGATAATTGTAAAAAAATTTGAACAAAAAATAATTAAAAATTAAAAAAATAAATTTAAAAATAGAATAAAAAGTATTATTAAAATACTTTTAAAATCATTTGCCTTGATGTTGGGACCCGCATGTCCCATTCCTTTGCATACTTGGCGCACACCCACGTTGCAAAAGTGGGAATCTCTCTCCTTCTACACTATAGAATACTGCTTCCAAATTGCGAATTCAATGGTGGGGGTAAACTCAAAAATGGGCTACTTGAGTTGGGTTTTTAATTCAAACTATGTTTCATATCAAGGGTGGGGGTAAACTCAAAAATGGGCTACTTGAGTTGGGTTTTTAATTCAAACTATGTTTCATATCAAGGGTGGGGGTAAACTCAAAAATGGGCTACTTGAGTTGGGTTTTTAATTCAAACTATGTTTCATATTGTGTTGCCGAACGCCTATTTGAGTTGGGTTTTCTACTCGAATTGAGTTTTTTTTTTTTTTTTTTTTTTTTTTTTTGAGTCGAACGAAACGAACACTTCGTTTCGTTTCTTTTCTCTTCTTTTTACAATTTTTAAATTCAAATTTTTAATTTTAATTCTTTTTTGTTCAAATTTTTTTACAATTATCCAACACATTCATAATTTACACCATCCAAACACCAATTTGAATTAAAATTTGAATCCAAGTGGAGATTTATCTCAAATCAAAAACTTTATTCGAATCACATTACAAACAATATATAGAAAATCACAAGTGGAAACAAAAAAGAAAAGAAAAACAAATAGGAAGGATCCTCAATAAGCAGCAGAAAGCATACCATGGGCTTTTCGGTCTCCATCTCATGAAGAAATTGCTCGAATGCACCATGACCACGGAGAAGTTTTGCACCACACCCTGAATAATCCACTGATCCAACTGCTTCTTCATCAACCAAAACAGCATCAATAATATCAATGCCTTTCTTGGAGTCTGGAACCTGTGGTCATTTAAAATGGTTATGTCATGATAGGCCTATGTCGTGATGTGATTCATTTGATGGCAGCTGCACTGGATCATAAGAAATGGGCAAACATGACATTGGATAGGCCCCTCTAAAGTAACCAGTTTGAATAGGCAAAACATTAGTTAGCAAATATCAGCTTACAATATATTTAGTCAGTCGTGTGCTTACCAAGAAAACATGTTACAGCAAGACGTGTACTTAAGGCATAAATGATTTAACTTTGTAGACTTTGTACGCATATGGAGAAGGATGGTGGAAATTCCACTTATAGATTCTTTCTCAATAAATGGCATTTCCACAAGTACTTCCATTTCAGGACAACCCATCCAAAAGTGGAAGTAAATGCAAAGTCAATATCAAACAAATGTAAGTGTTTACTGCTTGGAAAAATCTCATTAGCTGCCTAACAGAAGTGGGTGATGTGGTAAATAAATATATGTTTCACTGTATAAAAGAATGAGTTAAGAATTATATGTTCCAGAAACCGGTTGATATGCTACAATGTAGCTATGAAAGCTTAAACGATCTATAAGTAAAAAATATTTTCTATGTTGCTCTTTATTAAAAGAAAAAAAAAAATAGAATGAAGCAAGAGATGCTATCCAATGCTTGATTGTTAATAGATAGGGTGGAGATTAAGTCGGCTAAATTTTATAAAGGCCACTCTACTCAGAACAAACTAGAAGTGCAAAAAATAATTCAGAAGAAAATGTGTTAGGATCCATTCGTTGGTAATAAATCCCAATTATTTGAAGATTGTGTATAAATATGATATAAATTGTATATATAATTGGCCAAGTCCCTTACTAACAAATACATTTTCTTTTAAACTTATCTCTTGCATTTTTCAGTAAGCAAACACTTTCAAGTTTCTTCTAAATTGAGTGACCCTATAAGATTGAGCTGACTAATTGATGCGGATCACATTAATTAGGATTGATTTCCTTGATTACGGAATTCATTTGGTTGATTGGAATTGACTTTCAAATCATTTGGGATTGATTTTTATTCTGCTTTTGTGCATTTAATTTAGTGTATTTAGTTTCCAGTTTTTATTATGTAGTTAGCCTATAAATTGGCTACTTTGTTAGAAGAAAAACAGACTATGATGATTGAATATTGAATTGCATTTCTCAGATTGCTTCCCTCTTATATTCTTCTTCCTCTTCCCTCTCTCTTAAGTTCTTTCTCAATTCCTTTCTTAAATCCCCAATTCCCCTTCTATTTCCCTCTCATTCTCTCTAAATTCCCCCTCTTTCTATTCTCAATTCCCTTTCCCTTTCTATTTATCTTCACTCTTCCCTTTCTCCAGCAAGTCCTACGTCACTCATTCATCATACCTATTAAAATCCTTCGCCAATCAATCATTAGATTAACATCTTTCGCCCAATTCCAAAATATTCGGGAAACAAAAAGCAAAAAAGAAAACAAGTTTCATCTTTCACACAATTGCAACGCATTAAACACTTTTCAATACCAATAGTTCTCAATTCTTGATTCCTTTATACAATGCAATATATTAATCAACCCACATATCATCCGCTTCTGTCAGGCTTAGAGATAGTATGATTATTCCAAGAAGTAAATACTCATATTTATTTGTTGAGTGAACTTGCATATATTTCCATTTGGGGTAGAGTGTCTCAAATTTCTTGATTCCTTTATACAATGCAATATATTAATCAACCCACATATCACCCGCTTCTGTCAGGCTTAGAGATAGTATGATTATTCCAAGAAGTAAATACTCATATTTATTTGTTGAGTGAACTTGCATATATTTCCATTTGGGGTAGAGTGTCTCAAATTTCTCCATAAATCACTCACAATAGTCACTTCATTCCTTGACTAACTTCCATAGATTGAGTAGATAAAGTACTTGGCTACCGAGACTCGCACCTCATGTCAAGGAATCCAATCCAACACACCATTCTCAATGATCATCAAATTCTTAGAGCCCGTTTAGTTAGAGGATTCGTTCCCTGATTCGAATCATGGTTCATGGTTCGCTATAGTATTTTTTCTCACAAAAAACACACGTAAATAAAAAATGGTTCTAATCTCATGGTTCTAATCCATGAACCAAACGGGCTCTTAATTCGTTTTGATGCCCAAATAAAATTTACTCTCATGTCTCCTCATCATATCATCCCCGACCAAAAAATCTAATCGAAATGTCCTCGCAACGATTTACAATTTATTGATGTAAAAGCCTTTTGTTATGGTAAATCATGAAACAAAATAATTGGGTCGTTTTCAAGTATAATATATATCCTCACGCAAAATTCTCCATCCAAATCGCATGCCACAAATTCGAATAATTACAAACTCACATTTTAACCATCCACAAAATATCTAATAATAACTAACCGTCCACAAAATATCTATTAATGACTATGAAACTTATCACCAACAAAAACGGTTGTCAAATTTTAAATTTCTTTGTATTAATTTAATTATTTACTTATTTATTTATTTATTTGCTACAAATAAAACGGTCGTTACTTTGGAAAACCTGAGGCACACTAATGGAACGAAAAGGACCTAACCCAATAGACTCTTCTTGTGTCTCCTCGTAGAAATTCAATATTGAGAAAATAAAGTCCACATAAATATATTCATATATGCTTGGATTCAATATTACCTCAAACATTGCCTCCATAAGAACGTTTTCTAATATGGATCTTAATCCTCGAGCACCAGTGTTCTTTGCCATTGCTTTCTTTGCAATCAATCTCAAAGCATTCTCAGTCACATGTAACTTGACCTGAAATGTAAAACAAAAAAGGAAGCTATCTTATAATAAACTATATTGCTTGTAATAAAGTGTGATGTGTGTAATGTATAAAGAGAACCGAGCTTTATTAATAAAAATATGAAACAAAACAGAAGCTTACATTGTTCAGACTAAACATCTTCTTGTATTGCTTGCCGAGAGCATTTTTTGGTTGTGTGAGGACCTATTTCCGAAGAAAAATAGAATATAAGCTCTCAAATTTGCTTGTCAATGACATAACGAAGGAAACTAAAGAGTAAGTCAACAACTTGAGCAAATAGAGTAAGCCAACAAGAAGTTCTCACTTTTGATAACAAGTTTCATTATGGGAGGCAGATTTGACTCTCATTCAGCCTGTCTTCGCTAGTATCCCTATTTACTTCATGTCCCTTTTTAGACTTCCGGTCAGTGGCTAGACTGTTGGAGAGGGATAAGAGAATTTTTGTGGGATAGTCCGGAAGGGGGGCGAATGGACAATTTGGTGGCTTGGGATATCGTGATAGTCCAAGGTAGATGGGGACTTGGGAATTATAAACCTTCTGAACAAAATTTGACCCTTTTGGGAAAATGGTTGTGGAGATTCCCATTAGAACAACATATCTTGTGGGCTTCGCTCATTAGAAGTATGGTTTAAGCTCAAATTGTTGGGACTCCAACCTTGTGAGTAGTGCCGCTTTAAGAAGCCCTTGGAAATTAATATCAGGTAATAGATTCTTCTATTCGGCTCATTAAATGGGATGTGGGCAGGGGGGAATAGAGTTCTTTTTTGGAAACATTCTTGGCGTGGGCAGACTTCTATTGCAGTGTCTATTCCTAGATTGTTTTCTCTCTCAAATTCTCAAAATGCTTCCATTGCATATTTGTGAGTATATTCTTCTAATGCAGATCATAATGGGAATTTTGATTTCAGAAGAAACTTGAATGATACGGAGGTGGAGGATTTGGCCTCTATTCTCTTGGCTTTGGGGACTTTTTCCTTGTAGCCTTCCTGTCCTAACAAAAGGATTTGGTCTAGAGATCCCTCGGGATTTTCTTACAAGTCCATGTTTGATAGCATTTCCAAAGATCATATCCAATTCATTTTGATCCATAACTGTTCATCTAGAAATCTATGATCCGTTTGTTTCGAGGGTTCTAGCCTCGTTTAGAACCATGGTTCTTGGTTCGTTATAGTGTTTTTCTCTCACAAAAAATTTAAATTTAAAAAATCAGAATCATGAACCATAGTTCTGAATCTATGAACCAAACGTCACCCTAGTGTCCCTCCTAGAATAAAAGTTTTTGCTTAGTTGTTGTTTCATAGGAAGCTTCACACTAGTGACAAAGTGCAGAGGAAACATCCTCACTTGTTCATTTCTCCTTGGCGTGTCCTTTGTAAGTCTACAGGGGAATCTATAAATTATCTTTTTCGACATTGCACGGTGGCTAGGGATCTTTGGAACAGTTTGTTGTGCCTAGCGGGTCTGCTTTGGTCTTCTCCTGAGCATCCTAGTGCTTCGATGCTGGATAGTTCTGTCGGCTTTGGCTCCAATAAGAAGGCTAAGGTCTTATGGAATAGCTTTGTAATCTCGATTCTTTGGACGGTTTGGCTAGAAAGAAATGCTGCAAAGCAAAGGATTCAATTGACCTTTTAGCACTTCTTTGGGCTTCTACACACAAAGAATTTAAGGGTTTTCTCGCTTGATTTGATAGTTCTTAACAGGAGGGCTGTAATTGGGAGTTGGCTTTTGGCTTTAGTTTTTCTTTCGTGTTGTTTTCCTAGTTTTTCCTTTTTGGTTTTGTGGCTTTCTTGTTGAGGATATCTCGTCCTCGGCTTCTTTGTATTAATCTTTTTTATCAATAAAAGGTCTTTGTTTATTATCAAAAAAAAAAAAGGATTAATTACAAAAATTACCCCTGAATTATACCCTTTGTAACACTTTGTCCCTTGATCTTTAAAACGTAATACTCGATCCCCCTAAACAATGAAATGTTAACAAAAAAGCCCATCCGTTAGGTCTTTAACCGAAATTGACATTTAATTTGCTATTTTGAGTGTATTTTAGTAATTCTATGGTATATAATTTAATTTAAATATTTAAAAGAATTCATAATTTTTTTATTCTACAAAAAAAAAAAAAAAAAAAGATTCATAAAACTTTTAATTTACATTCAATCAATAACAGATGTATCATAATGAAAAGTTCAAATTTTAAATTCAAACTAATTAGTGCTTACGCTCCACAAATAGGATTGGATGCGGAAACTAAAGTCAAGTTCTGGGAAGACATGGATGACTTAGTGTGTCGTATAGGCAATGAGGATAGCATTTTCATTGGAGGAGATTTCAATGGGCATGTTGGTAAGGATAGGGAAAACTTCGAAAGGATCCATGGTGGTTTTGGTTTTGGAGCTCGAAAAGAAGAAGGAAAATCTATTTTGAAATTTGCGTTAGGACATGATTTTATCATAACAAACACATTGTTTAAGAATTGATAACTTTTAAGAATGGATGGAGCTTAAGCCAGATAAATTATTTTCTCACAAGGTATAGAGATTGTTCTCTATTTAAGAATTGTAAAGTAATTCATGGAGAAGCACTAGCCACCCAACATAGGTTAGTGATCTTAGATGTGAGCATTAAGCTTTGCTATAGAAGCATTAAGATAAACCACCTCCTACAAACTCGTTGGTGGCATTTGAAGGGAACAAAGCAATTGGCCTTTAAAGAGAAGTTGTTAGATGAGGCTACTTGGTTATATGTAGGTGATGTAAATACTATGTGGGATGCCATGGCCAGCTGCATTAGAAAAGTAGCAAAGGAGGTACTAGGGGAATCTAGAGGTAAAGGCCCCCCTGGCAAAGAAACCTGGTGGTGGAATGAGGAAGTTCAAAAGGCTATTATGACCAAGTGGGATTTATATAGAGATTTACCAAAGCGTAAGGATGTTGAAACTTTTAATAAGTACAAAGAAACAAAGAAAGAAGCTACGCGAGCAGTTGGTAAGGCTCGTTCTACTTACTTAGATGAGGTATATAAGAAACTTGAGACTAGAGAAGGAGATAAGGATATATATAAACTAGCTAAGATAAGAGAAATGAAGTGTTAGGACTTAAATCAAGTGAGGTGTGTTAAGGATGATACGAATCAGGTTCTGACAAGAGATAAAGACATTAGGGAAAGGTGGAGGAGTTACTTTGAGAAGCTTTATAATGATGATCAGGCGATAGAGTTTAACAATCTTATATCACAAGGAGAACTTAATGTGATGTATACAAGAGGAATTAGAGTCTCGAAAGTTAAAACTGCACTACGAAAGATGAAAAAGGGAAAGGCATGTGGGGCCAGATGATATTCCAATAGAGGTTTGGATGGCGTTAAGAGATGCTGGAATTGTGTGGCTCACTAAGCTTTTTAATGAGATACTAAAGAAGAAGCATATGCCTGATGCATGGAGGAAAAGTATTCTTGTCCCCGTCTTTAAGAATAAAGGAGATGTGCTGCATTGTAACAACTATAGGAGCATAAAGTTAATAAGCCACACTATGAAACTTTGGGAGAGAGTTATCGAAAGGAGATTAAGGGCCATAACTACCATCTCAGGTAACCAATTTGGTTTCATGCCAGGTAGATCAACCACAGAAGCCATTTTTCTTCTTAAGATGCTAATGGACAGGTACAGAGAAGCCAAGACAGACCTACATATGGTCTTTATAGATTTAGAAAATGCATATGATTGGGTGCCGAGGGAATTTTTATGGTGGTTGCTAGAAAAAATGAGTACATGTGAGGTATATTAAGGTAATTAAGGACATGTACGATGGGGTGGTCACGAGTCTAAGAACTACTGGAGGCTACACGGCAGAGTTCCTCATTCGGATCGGCCTTCATCAAGGATCTGCTCTTAGTCCTTATCTTTTCACCATCGTGATGGATGAGCTGACAAGAGAAATCTAAAATAGAGTTCCTTGGCGTATGCTTTTTGCGGATGATATAATTTTAGTTGATGAACATAAGGAATGAGTTAACCGTAAGTTAGAACTGTGGAGACAGACTCTCGAGACGAAGGGATAAGTAGTACGAAAACTGAATACATGCATTGTAGGTTTAGTAATTCAAATAATCAGAGTGATGGAATTTCTTTAGATGGTGTAGAGATTGGGGCTTCTAGGAAGTTTAGGTACCTTGGGTCTATAGTGCAGTACGAAGGAGATAGAGAAGAGGATATTCAACATAGGATTAAGACAGGGTGGGTTAAGTGGAAGAAAGCTACCGGAGTTTTATGTGATGGCAAGATGCTTATTAAGTTGAAAGGAAAGTTCTATAGAACTGTAATCCACCCAGCTATGTTATATGGTAGTGAATGTTGGGCCATTAAGAGACAACATATATTTAAGATGAGTGTGGCAGAAATGCGTATGTTAAAATGGATGAGTGGCCATACGAGAATGGATCGCATAAGGAATGAAGTTATTCATAGTAAAATAGGTGTAGCACCAATAGAAGATAAGGTGCGCGAAGGCCGCTTGAGGTGGTACGGGCATGTCCAACGTATACCGCTAAAAGCACCAGTTCGTGCTTGGGAGGACATTCTTATACCTAATACTAAGAGAGGGAGAGGTAGACCAAGAATTACGTGGACCGAAGTCGTTAAAAAAGACATTATAGACCTAGGCTTTTAGGAAAGTTTAATTTCGAACAGAGACGTGTAGAAAAGTAAAATCCATATAGCCGATCCCAATTAAGTAGGGATTAAGGCTTGTTGTTGTTGTAGAGCTACCAAAATATCACAAAATAACAAATTAAATGTCAATTTCTGTTAAAAAAACCTAATAGAGGGGTTTTTTTATTAGCATTTCATTGTTCAGGGAGAACGGATGTTACGTTTCAAAGATAAGGGGGCAAAGTGTTATAAGAAATACAGTTCAGGGGAAATTTTTGTAATTAACCCAAAAAAAATACCAAGTTCATTATATTAACATCCAATGCTCTTCAAGTTTTATTAGCGCCTGGTAATTGCATATATAGCACATACATGCATGCAAAAGTACCATAATTTTGAAGAAAATTAGGCCAGGGTTCAGCCCGAGTTCGAACTATGTTTGTAAACAAGCCTAGGTGTAAGCGTACTTAACCGAGAAGAAAATATTGCAAGTTTTAGGATCCAGCTTGACATTTGCACCACCACTTTTGTATAAATTCCAGTGTGCTTCGTTTAATTTTAGTTTTACTGGTCTTTTCTCCGTTCTCTTTGAGAACTTCTTGTCCTCAAAGTGTTAATTTTCTTTATTTCTTTGTAACTATGTTAGGAACCTGATAGCTAGTAGTTGTTTTTAGTAGTCTTTTAGTAGTATAAATACGGGTCTAGTGGCTAATGAGGGGGCATGATGAGATTTGTGAAGAGTGTCTAGTGATGTGCACTATCTTGGAGATCGGGGGTCCTTGAAACCGCCCATTTATCCTGTAATTTTCCATTTTTAGTGTTGTTAATGAAGTTCAGATTTCCGGGTTCCTATCAAACTAACTCTTTTTTAATCAAAATCATTTAATTATAAAAAAAATAAATTTTACACCTCTTTTGTTCTCACTGTAATGAATAGAGCAAATGTACCTGAACGAGTTGGTCCTCGTTTAATGCTGACAAGCAAACTAAAATTGGAAGTCGTCCAACAAACTCGGGTATCATGCCGTATGCAATAAGGTCCCCACTTTCTACCTGCAAATTGAAAGTTTTGATATTTGTATTTGTTTAGTTTACTTTTTTGAATTTCTGTAATTTAAGCCAACGTGACACTAGAGACGTGAGAGATGAGGAAGTTAATTACAATCTCAACTCAATAAATAAATAAAATGGAAATGGTAAACAAACATAAAACTATGGTTGAAGATTCTTTGTAACCATAATATCAGAATTTGATTCTCACAGATTCCAACAGCGATGATGTCACTAAAGCATCAGTCACTCTATTGCTCTGCATGTTCATCCGAACTGGTGCTCCAAAACCAATAGAAGAATCTTGCCTTCTGGAAAATTGCCATGCAACTAATAATCAGCTTCCAAATTTTTGTAATCGTGGATGAGTAAACTGGAAAAGATTTTTTCACAAAAGCCCCTCCCCACCAAAAAAGAAAAGAAAAGAATTACCTTTCAGAAATAGTCTTCTCCAAATTAATGAATGCACCCCCACATATGAATAGGATATTCTTGGTATCGATCTACAGAAATTGGAGTAAAGTTAATTAATTGATGCCCCAGGAAGCAACATCTAAAGAGGAGAAAATCGTGGTAATAAAAAAAATAAAAATCCACTAATATGTAGCTCCCTAACGTTTGCAGTCTATTGTTCCATGTAAAGTTAGTGCACATTCCTCACTGGTATGAAAAGCCAATAAAACCCAACGCACTAGATAAAGTTCCTTTTAAATAAAATTAGAAAAAAAAAAAAGAAGAAGAAGAAGAAGAGCAATCCTCCAGAGAAGAAAAAGCAGCTTTGTGCAGCAGGCATTCTGGCACAACGTTGAACTCATGAAAAGAAGTGAAAAACTACATATTGTTCTAATATTAGGAAGAAAACTAATGTACCTCCTCAGCAAGAGAAATAGCAAGCTAGCCATTCAGGAGGCTGGCTTTATGGACATAACTTGCTAACCTAATGTTCTTTTTCATGTTAACTACCAAACATATGCGTAATAGCAATATTGCAAAGCCAAGGCCTAGTTCTTCAGGCAAATTCTCCATTTTACCTGAATGGTATCACCTCGGGGATGCTTCCGAGCTCCTTTATCAGGAACATTCACCACCTGAGAAAACAAATCCATTAGTTACATAATAATCCAATAAAAATGTTATATGAGCTTCAGGCTAAAGTCTCCTAATCACTTCAAAGATAAGCACACAACCTTAAATAAACATATTCTTGCTAATATAAAGCATCTTAGCGTAAATTTTAAAAAAACCAATAAGCCTTCCAAAAAAAAAAAAAAAACAACACAAGCAGTTTTTGCATATTTGTTAAAAAGCCCCAAGTCATATAACAGTTCCATAATGATGTCATTAATGTAATGAAAACTCCCAAGGACAAAAAAGATGAGTTTACCCGTATTTTGAATAAAATTTCTAGCAGAGAACTTGTAAGTTGCAATATAATTATTTTGCAAGAACTCGGAACTCCAATGTTTTTTCACAAGTTTCAAGAACAAATACACTTTGGCTGCATAATCAAAAACGGCATGTACATTGAGATAAGAGAATTGAATATTTATACAGGGACAAAATGGATCAGACGATAGCAACGAAAGATAAAGCATCTCCAAAAATCTGCTTTCCTAAATGCTTGAATAAGAAAATCCCTAAACTAGCGGAGAAGGACCCGTGGAGAATGAACAATCTAAGCTTCTGTTTGCTTTTAGAGACAAACAAGAAATAAAATGCATCCTGACATCCATATAGGTAGATCCATAGATATAAAACCAGTTTAAGGTTAATTAACTCACAGTTCCTTCCAACATTTTTAGCAGTGCCTGTTGAACACCCTCTCCAGATACATCCCTGCCAATGTTAATGCTCTCGCCCTGCAGAAAAGTTCACCTTGTTAGCCTCAACTAGAAATTAAAACATCCAAGTAAATAATCTGTATACTTCTCAAAAGACCTTCTTAGTTATCTTATCAACTTCGTCAATGTAAACAATCCCTCTCTGAGCTGCTTCCACATTGAAATCGGCTTCCTAGGCACATAAGAATAACGACATAATCACACGTGTTAAAGGACTGGACACAAAAGAAAATCCAACTTATCCAACTTCACCGTCTTTGAGGTGCACAATATACACGTGAACTGTACCACAAGTAGTTTGTACAAAATTGATTCAACATCCTCTCCGACATAGCCAGCCTGGAAGAAGGGAAAAAGACTAACCGAGTTGTTAAGAAAGCCCAGGTAAACAATAGAAACAGCTTTTGTTGACTACAAACAACACTAATTAACAAGAATAGCTCCTATGTCCAAATTTCAACAATTAAGACACAAAATAGACATTAAAAAAAAAACGCTAGTATAATATTGGAGTCAGTAGAGACAAAACAGTCATAATGTCCAAAAATAATAAGTATCTTGTTGGTTGGGGGTTTTGATGACGCAGCAACAAAGTGGGCAGCAAAATAATATGAAAAAAGTAAAGTCTATTAAATCTGAAAATATATGAACAGAACTAAAACTCCAACGTAGTGCTGGTCTTTTATAGAATGTAATCCAAAAGTCCTAATTCTGTTCACACTCTAAAACAATAAAAGAATCCTAATCCAAATAAAACAACAAAAATAAGAACGATAAGGCTGGAAAATAAAAATAAATCCTAATCCTAATCCCAGTTGCTGTCCTACATCATCAGATTTTTAGGAAATGCAGGTCTGGATCAACTGCAATAAATAGTATCTTTACCCCATAATACAATAAGAACACAAATCTGCTACTGTTTTGTATAGTTCTTAAGCAAAGACTAGTACCATAACCCCGATGATAAGCGCATGAAAATGCACTTAATTTGTTTACAATTGTTAAATAAATTAGGTTTTAATTAAATATTTTCGTGGAATTAATTTTTTGTGGAAGTATTTAATTTAATTTATTTTGTTTTGTAGGAAAATAAGACATTTGGGCCAAAACTAAAAAGAGGAAAAAGAAAGAAAGCCATCAGCAGCCGTCTGCCAACCGAGCCGAGTCGCGCGAGCCTCACCAGCGCCGCCACGTGTCGCTATCTGAGCTGTCCCCTCGCACACGCGTGTTTGGCACGCACTGCTTCCTCCCCCAAGCGAGTGCCTTCCACGTGCGCGTCAGGCACGTTTTCTTTCTTCTTCTGCATGGATCCCGCCGTGCAGTAGTTCTCCCATCAGCGCGCGCCACGTGTCCATATGGGACCCAACTGTTGGCCATTCTTCCTCTCAGCCACTCAGCGCGCGCCACGTGTCACGTCCGAAGCTAGTTTTTATCCCGCGTACTCCAAGCGTCAGTCCTGGACGAATCTTAGTGTGCCATGTGGCGTTTTCATTCCCCTGCTCGAGCCGTTCATGCATAATACTTGGGATTATTCATCAATTTGTATCCGTTTGTGATGGTTTTTCTTCCCACCATAATCAGCCGTTACTCTCAAAATTAAGCCTTGTAAATTCTAATTTAATTGGGATCCGTTTTTACTTTTATTTTCTGCTGATAGTTTTTTTTTAGCATTCCCAAAACTCTATAAATAAGGCCTTTGTTAAGTGTGTTAGGTTGTTGATTTTTAGCCTAAGCTTAGACACTTTTTCTCTAATTTTCTTGCTCTTATTCTCATATTTTCTCTTTAGAATTTTGTGGGAATTATGTGCAAGTTAGGCTAGAGTTCTTTGGTGAGGTTAGAGAGAAACCTATATGTGAAGTGATCTTGAGTGGATTTTGATTCTCCGTTTGTTTTCCAAAGTTTATATATTTGAGAGATTAATTTTCTTCTATCTTTTTCTAATTTCTCATATTGATATATTTTGTTGTCAACTTTTATATGAATTTAGTCATGCTCTTTTTATGTAATTGTTGCTCAATAAATTATATCGATAATATTGTTTTATGAGTAGTCTTTTACTGCAATATTACCAACGGTATATTGTCGCTTAGGATTTCTTGTAAGAACAATTTTCATTAGGTTACAACGTAAGAATTTTACTCACTCGAATACATTTTTATTCACAAGTTCTTCAAATATTTATTTTCTGATTGTCAGTTTGGGATGTGAAATTTTCAATTGAGTAATCTTAAAAATCAAAATCCAATCGGGTGAACAAAGCATGTAGGGGAATCTCGACGCCTTACCGGTTTTAATTACATAGGTTTCTCATATATTTTTCTTACGCTTAAACTTCTCAACAAAAATTTCATTTTCTTTTATTTTGATTTTATTATTTATCTCCTAATGCTTTTTATTTGCTAATCATTTCTTGTTTAATTTGTCTCCTCCTTGTGGATACAACCGCCCTAATTGTGCTACCGCGAACGCTTTATTTTCAACACGTTTGGGCGTAATCACCCGACCAACGTATTATCACCTAGACCAGTCATAAAATCATTGACTTACCATCGTCAAGTTTTTACTTGGTTTCAGTAAACACTATAACTGGTTTCTTTCATGAGGACAAATTCTTTAATCATAAACTAATATCTGATCCTATCATAACCAATGAGTGAAGTAAATTAAGGTTCCAAAAAATAAAAAAGAACTAGGAAACATATTTCCTAGAAAATCAACGTCACAATTGAGCTACACCAACACAAAACTTGGCATAATACCTTAAAAGCAGATACCAACAAATGTGCATCTGAGCAAATAGCATAAGGAATCACGATCATACTTTCAATCAATTAATGCAATGTTACCAAATAGTCTACTTGCCTGTGTTAATGTTGTTGCATCGGCAATGGCAAACGGCACATTAACAACGCGGGCCAGTGTTTTTGCAAGTAAGGTCTTCCCTATCCTTGCACATCACAGTAAAAGCACATATAAATCAGAACAGCAGTCCTCACTGCTTATTTCCACACAGATATCAACCACAGATACATGAAAAAGAACTCATCACTTACCTGAACCAGTGGGGCCCATCAACAATATGTTGCTCTTATCCAATTCAACAAAATCAATGTCGTCATTATCATCTTTACATTTACCAGATTGTACACCATATCTGGTATATCATGCAGTCTCAATTACTAAGCAACATCACATATACAACAATCAAAATCTTGGTAGTCAGTAAATTACAAATTGATTGCTCCATTGCCACCTTAAAAGTCATTGACAAGACAGGAAATTGTCATACTTTGGAGAAAACACCCCATTGAGAAAAACACTACAGTCTACGACACTAACCGTTGCAGCTCAGATGCATAATATAATCTCTTGTAATGATTGTAAACTGCAACAGAAAGCACCTGTTACAAAACCAGATGCATAAATGGACTGCTGCGGCACAAATTAAATTAACATGCAGAACTACAGAATCAATCATACAACTCTTATTCTCCTATTCTACATCAATTACAAGCAGTAAATAGATAAGATAATATCGCCATTTCCCCTCTAGTCCTTTGTGCACAAGGGGATTCAATCTTCTTATGAATGTAATCATCATTTCTTGTCTACTAATAAATCCAAATTCTTCTACAACTTACTTAATACATTCAAACAAGGGGATCCAATCTTCTTATGAATCTAATCATCATTTCGTGTCTACTAATAAAATCCAAGTTCTTCTACAACTTACTTAATACATTGAACGCAGGCCCTATGTGAGCAAATTCATCTACATAGAAAAATGTTGATTTCTGAAATGCTATAAAAGTGTTGCCTCTAACATGACGAGCACTCCCCTTAGACATTGTTAACTCAGCTACTTCAAGGACCGGAACGGGACAAACAGACTCTACACTAACACAATAAAGAACATTTTGAAAAGCAACTAAGAACTTCGTATATAAGGAACAAAACTCCGTTGAAACTGAAATTCAGTATTTGAATTAACTAAAGGGTAAATGTAATATACACAAATGTACCCCGAACTTTTCTTCAAACTCATAATTTTGGCATCAAGGATCGTAAACTTAACCATCTTTGATGGTATATAATCGAAAATGGATGTCAATTAATAGACAGCAATTGGGATCTCAAATACCAATGGAAAGAATACAAGATCAAACTTTGCATTTTATGGGGCATTTCGTCTATTAGCTATCAGACTACAAATGCAATAGATTTTCAAATGTAGGATCTTATTTTTCAAAATTGAAAGCTCAGAGCCCAGATTGTTATGAAGTAATAGTGCCAAAAAAACAAACAAACAAACCCTAACAAAAAAAAATCTGAGAACTTTATTACACAAAAAGATATCAGGATCCATCTTCGTAATTCGTATTACACCTAAGAACAACCTGATTACACAAATTCTACTATTAAGTGTTGAAGTTTTTTTTTTTTTTTTTTTTTGGCTAGAAAAAGGGGGTAATTGTTTAGCAACACAAGCAATTACCTTTTTGGCTCTCTCTTGTCCGACAACGAACTCATCAAGCGTCTTGCAAATCTCCTTCGGCGTCGGCAAATCCAAATCCCTCACCGATCTTCCACCGCCATTACCCCCTTCCTCCACCTCCAACGACGTCGTTTCCTCCGCGCCTCCACTCCGACACCGATCGCCGCCATCCGCCGCCGTCTCTTTCCCACCCTTGGCCCTCCCGATCTCGATGAAGCTCCCCTTCAAAGGCTCGAGCTTGAAGGGCCTAAAATAGAAGGCGGTCTTGCAGTTAGGGCAGAGATTCACCGCCTGATAAATCCCCACCTCCTTGGCCGTGATCGAAAGCGGGCGGTTCGAGAAGAGGACCGCCATTTTCTTCGAGCAGCGAGGGCAGTTCACCTCCGCCCTAATGTAGTGGCGGTGATCTCCCGAGGTCGGGCCGTCGCAGTTGTGCCGAACATGGCCGCCGTGGCGGTGGCCTGCTATTGCGGCGGCTGCGGCGGTGGTGGGAGGAGTAAGGGGAGAGTGGCGGCGGCGGAAGACGGAGACTCCGCCAGCGGAGATGAGTCGGATGGAAGAACGGGTGAGACGGAGAAATGGAAGCATTTTTTTTCCGAGGTGAAAGAAAATTACAGTGGCAACCTTGTTTATATTTGCTGCGTTCGAAGTAGGGTGGCAATTAGTGTGGGTTAGTGTCGTGTTTTGAGCATTTTTTTTTAAATTTATAGTTAATTTGAATACGACTCGTAACACGAAATGATTATTCTTTTGAAGTGTAACTTAAGTGTAATTTTTAAGTTAAATTTGAGTTATAACTTGAGTTGAAGTTAGAACTTAAGGGCTTGTTCTTTTAGAGTTTAACTTGAGTATAATTCTTAAGTTGAATTTGAGTTATAACTTGAGCTGAACTTGCAATTTGAGTTTGTGTTTAGTTGTGTACATTTGAGTTATAGTTTGAGATAAGAATCTTTTTGAATTTGTATTTGAATGAGTTAAAACTTTAATTTATATTTAGATAGTATTTTAATAAAAACTCAATGCTGATGAAAAATTTTAATAGGGTATATGGGTCGGATTTTATTCGTCTTTTCGTTGTCAACGCATAAAAAAAATTATCTCAATCAGAATTAAAATGAAAAAGTTATAGCATTTTTAAGAATATAAAAAATATTGTTCATTAATTTGAGTTTGAGTTTCTGAACTCGAGTTGAAGGGGAAACCAATGGCTTGTTCTTTTGGAGTTTAACTTGAGTATAATTCTTGAGTTAAATTTGAGTTATAACTTGAGTTGAACTTGTAACTTGAGTTTGTGTTTAGTTGTGTACATTTGAGTTATAGTTTGAGATAAGAATCTTTTTAAGTTTGTGTTTGAGTGAGTCAAAACTTTAATTTGTATTTAGATAGTATTTTAATAAAAACTCAATGCTAATGAAAAATTTTAATATGGTATATGGGTCGGGTTTTATTCGTCTTTTCGTTGTCAACGCATAGAAAAAAAAATCATCTCAATCAGAATTAAAACGAAAAAGTTATAGCATTTTTAAGAATAGAAAAAATATTGTTCATTAATTTGAGTTCGAGTTTCTGAACTCAAGTTGGAGGGGAAACTTGAACTCGAGGTTTAGTCATAAACTCGAGTTTAAACTTAAAAGAACATAAATTCGAATAAAGTTGTAACACGAATTGTCTTTTTTGAATTTTTCACTCAAAAGAACAAGTCCTAAATAAAGTTGAGTAAAATTGAATAAAGTTGAAACTTAAAAGAACATGAACTTGAATAAAGTTGAAACTTGAGTTGTCTTTTTTTGAGTTTTTTAGACAAAAGAACATGCCCTTAAACTCGAGTTTTAGTCCTGAACTCGAGTTTAAACTTAAAATAACATGAATTCGAATAAAGTTGTAACTCGAATTGTCTTTTTTTGAGTTTTTCACTCAAAAGAACAATCCCTAAATAAAGTTGAGTAAAATTGAATAAAGTTGAAACTTAAAAGAACATGAACTTGAATAAAGTTGAAACTTGAGTTGTCTTTTTTTGAGTTTTTTTGACAAAAGAACATGCCCGAAATTTTTTAAAAACTGCAATACGAACACAACACGACCATTTTACGAGCTGACACGACACGACCTGAAAATGACCCGTGACACGAAATTGACCCGTGAACCCGAAATTGACACGAAAATTGTATACTTTTCTTTAGTTTTTTACATATTAAAAATAACTTAAAATTCATAACACACTAAAATACAATAACATCCATTGAAATTAAGCAAATAATAGTATAAGATTTTTAGTATAACTATCATGATATCACAAGTTCATAATAAAATTTAAAATATGCAATGAAAAATATATGTATTTTTTAGTTTTTTACGAGTTTTGTGTCGTGTTCGGGTTAGGCAAGTCTAATCCGAAATTGACCCGTGTTTTTCGTGTCAATTTCAGGTCGACCTAATTCTGACCTGAATCTCTTTTTTCTCAACCTTAACCCGTAAAATTCGTGTCATTTTCAAGTCGTGTCGTGACCCATATTACTGGTCATAATTTAGAGTACGATTCGTTGCATACATTGAATGATAATAATTCACTATAATATTTTTAGAAAAAATATACTGTAAATTAAAAATTATTTTAAATCATAATTCTAAATTATAATATTTTTTCTCATAAAAAAATATATTGTGAATCAAAAATTATTTTAAATTATAGTTATAAATCAATAAACTAAACGTCTACAAAATGTATATTAACATTGGGGTGCTGTAACGGTAATATTTTGGTACATTTTCGAGTGTATTATATAAAACAAATGAAAATAGCATAAAAAGTAACTACAAAGCATCAATAAAAGAGAGACATAAGAAAAATATGAAAGACGTTCATTTTATATTTTTTCATTCGCTTGTAATAGGTGTGTTTAAAATAAGCTCATACAACTTCTATTTATAAGTTAGGAATCATGAGTAAAGATAGAGTAAAGACACAAATTATATGAGTTACATACAATATTAAAATGAGAATTATGAAGAGATAATACACAACATTAAGAGATGAATTATGAAGAGATAATAGGTTCCAAATGAGAGGTTATGAAATACCGAGAGGTGGCATCCACACTTAATTGATTTACAACACTCTCTTTTAAATGTCCACCTACCAAAGAATATGTCTCGTTAAAAACCTTATTAAGAAAAAACTTAGTGGAAAATAATTTTAGTAAAGGGAAAAGAAGTGCATAATTCTTGTAGGATTTGCGTTTGGAAGTGCCTCCTTAAAAATCTTGCAAGGAAAATTCAATGAGACAAAATCTATACCAAGGAAAAAAGAGTATAGTACGCAGTAGCCTCCCCTCACGTCAACATGTCTTCTTCAGTAACAATAAAGATTTTTAAGTCAACGCGTATTGATCTTGTGGATCAATTTCTCAAATGTAGCTGCAGAGAGTGTCTCAATTAACAAATCTGTCAAGTTATCACTATAACAAATTTGATGCACGCCTAGTTCTCTTGTCTTCTGGAGTTTATATGTGACTATGAACTTCAATAAAATGTGCTTGATTATGTCTCTTTAACTCAGGTTAAACAGGTTGCATCTCCTCATATAACACCATTGGAATTCCTTTAACAAATGAACTTACCTCATATATTGCTAATATTTCAACACGGTTCAAATGTTGTGGTAAGAGTTTGATTTGTTGAGGGCCGAGATATAAAAATCCCACCATATGTAAACAAACACAATCAAATTTTGACTTTAAATTGTGACCAAAATAAATTTTTATCTGATGTTCATGAAAACAATATTTATTTAACACCATTGACAAAGACTGTTATATCAAATCTCGTAACAAAATACAATAGTGCGCCAATAGCACTTAAGATATAGCACTTCTAGGTCATGAGAATTAAAAAAATCCTCTTTCACATTAAATGATCAAACAACTATAATAGGGTTTACGGTTTACTGGAGGTGTTAAGAAGGTGAACATCCACATTAATAAATCTATTTATTGATAAATCTCCTCCTTGGACGTTCAACAGTTAATATGCCTCATTCAAACCTTACTAGGTAAACACCCAGTAGGATAAAAATCCTAGTGAAAAAAAAAGAGTACAATATTCTCATTATTATAATATGCTACTAAAACTGTCTTATTAAAATCTTGTCAGGAAAACTCAACGATAAAAACCATGACTAAGGGAAAGA